AAAAGTATCAGGGTCACATTGTAAACATGTGGAACTATTCCACAGTAAATAAGATTAAAATGACAAGTAAAAATACAATGCATAATTCTGAACTGGATCCTTTTCCCATAAGAACATCATTGGGACCACTGACTGGTAAACTTGAACGGGACAGTGACTATTATAATAATTTATCAATATTAATTTTCTGATTCTGATTGTTGTATTAGGATACATATTGAAGTATTCAGGAATAAAACATTCATGTCTTACCCCTAAAGACTTCAGGGAAAAAAAAATGTATTTGAATTGTTCTTGTAGCTTTTAAGTTAAAAAAAAAAAAAATTGTGAGGAATTGTGGGGGAGTACCGGGGATTGAACTCAGGGGTACACAACCACTGAGCCACATCCCCAGCCCTCTTTTGTATTTTATGTAGAGACAGGGTCTTGCTGAGTTGCTTAGGGCCTCATTGAGTTGCTGAGGCTGGCTTCAAATCCTTGATCCTCCTGACTCAGCCGCCTCAGCCACTGGGATTACAGGCATGTGCCCGCCACTGCACCCTGCTTAAGAAACAATTTTGAGCTATTTAAGCCCCTCAGAGCAAAAGGGGAAAGTTCTACATTATTCTTTTACAATAATTATATATTGTACCAAAAAGACAAAAAAGCTAATCTCACAATTCTTGAAGCAAGACTTAAGTAAAATATAAGCAAATAGAATCTAATAGCACACAATATAGCTCAAGGGTAGAACATTTGCTTAAAATGCACAAGGCCCTGAGTTCAATCCCCAGTGAACCAAAAACAAAACAAAAAAAGCACACAAATATCATAATTCATATAAGGCTTATTCTATGAAAGAATGGTTCAAAATTGGGTAATCAACATAATTATATTAAAAGGAAAATTATATGATCATTTTCCATATTTGCTGGGTATTTAATAAGTTTCAACCTCAATCTTGAAGAGAAATTAACAAAATGAAAGTACTGGGATTGAACCGGAGGAACACTTTACTACTGAGCTACATACCCAGCCCCTCATTTTATTTTTTAAGACAGGGTCTAAGTTACCAGGCTGGCCTTAAATTTGAGATCCTCCTGCCTCAGGTTCCTAAGTTGCTGGAATTCCTTAATAGGCCTTGTGCATGTGAGGCAAGCACATTAAGGAATAGATATCTCCCTGCTACTATCTCTGTCCAATGAGAAGCCGAGAAGAAATAATACCCTAGCAGAAACAAGTACAACTGAGTACCCAAATGTTGAGGACAAGATATTGATGTACTGAAAGGGGTCAATCAAAACAATTAGGTAAGAGAAATGCATTAGAGGTTTAAGAATCTAAAAGAGGTAAAACTGCCTCTATTTGAGATATGATTTCTAGATATATGATGATCTGAAAATTAAAATGAAAAGAACATTCAATAAAATAATTGAAGAAATAATTTATAATAAATACTATCATGTCATGTATGCAGACATCAGTTTATTAAAAATTACAATGGTAACAAGAGTAAATRATGCCCAGAAATTAATGTACATGTTCAAAATCAAGATAAGGGAAAATGTGAACATTCTTTTTAAAGATGCTGTTGCTGATTACTTCTGAAGGAATGTGATGAGGCGAATTCTGGGTATGCCAAAAGATGCTAGATGCTGCAACCTTGAGCTAACATTGCTGCTGGAAATTGCATAAGAAGTACTACTAGAAACAAAAAATCCCAGAAAGACCCTTCTCCTCTACATTCCCTAAATAATGGCAGAATCTTAACAGAAATCCAGTTAGCAAGAGTTTGGAGAATGAGGGGTGCAAAGCAACAGAGAGCAGAGTTTAAGAGGGTAAAATTCTCTTCTGGCTATTTAACGTGTACATTTGCAATTCCATAAAATAACTATTTCAAGCCATAATTTATTAGGATGGAACTATTCTTTATACAGATGAAAATACTTTTGCTCCAGCAGCACAAATTTTCTGGCATGAGGTACTTGTTTGGGAATACATGGATAGATTGTATGCAGATTGAGTAACACAGTAATTACTTAGAGGTACATGGGCTAGGCATGTAGCTCAGTGGTAGAGCACTTGCCTACCATGCACAAGGGCCTGGGTTCAATCCCTAGAACTGCAAAAAACTGGAATAATGAACATACAGAATGAGAACATCTCAGGTTTGACACCAAGGATAAAACAGGAAGCAACTCAGATGAAGATGCAAAAGGGAAGGGCAATGTAATGAGGAAAATTTGTAAACAAAACCAAAAACCCCCAAACTTCCCTAAAAATGCTAAATAGTTCTTATACCTAAGTCCTCTTAAGTGCCTTTGCTGATACACAGACCTAAACATCAGGCAGGGCAAAAAGCCAATCAGGCTTATACTTGTCCTCTAAATTGACAGGAGATTCAAAGAGCAGAGAAAATGAAAAAATGGAAAGAGCGGCTTGAGAAGAAGTATTATTCTACAGAAATTGAAGATGACTACCAGCCTGTCACTCAACAAGAATTTCAAGAGTAAGCATTTGTTTTAACCAGGGTACTATCAGGCATCATGACATGGGGATTCAGGACATATGTCACATTATTTTTCTGAAGCTTGAACTTATCTCTTTAGAATGTGACTCCATTTACTTAAAACTGTTTTTATCCCTACATCTCTAAAATGATAGAAACTGCCATTTATATTTGACAAGTATGACAGATACTGTTTTCCATGCAGGTTTAGAATGTCAGAGCCGCAATTAGCTATATAAAGCATGTTTTAGCTCACCATACTATCTTCCTTGTCACAGCAATTCACTCTTAATAACCTGTGGTCTTTAAACACAAGTGTATTACTGACTCGTTCTCCACTAACTTCTAATTATCTTTTAGACTCTTTTTATATGCTGTGGAGCTGGAGAAGGAATTACACTATATCAGTTTAAAGCTAAACCGAGTGATGAGAAAGCTTTCAGCTCTACAAAAATAAGACAAGAGGTGAGAATCTGTGATGCAATCATAAGGTTATTTCTGACAAGACTTACTCTACTAGACATGTGAATGCCCCCTGGGCCCCTTTTGCAGGTTTTGTGCAAGTTTATTTGCACTAAACTTTCAAATCACTGAATTATCCTCAGGGTTGTTTATAATAATCAAATGATTTCCAGGAATTAAGTGCTACCAAATATGACCCACTACACAATCCATATATTACAACTTGCCTGGCTCATGCATAAAACTTTTATGATGAGGTTTATTACTCAATTCTACAAATATGAAGAGAAAGTGCAAAATAATGCTTGTARTTCATGGGTCAATATAAGCATATCACTATGTTCTGACTTTGTTGGGCCACAGATATATTAATAAAGGTTTAGACATTATATTMCTCCTAAGTGAAAAAAATTCTCCATTCTTCAGATAAGCCTAAGTACAGAAGAACAAACTTCCCAGACAAGAACAGAAATTTCACTGGTATCTGTCTTCAAACTGGAAATTCACCTATATCAGGGTCACCTATATCAAGTCATGCTTGGGAAATGTAAATGATGCTGCAAGTGCCATGTTTCTATGGTTGGAAAACTGTGTATGACTGGTATTACATGAAATAGAGGGAAACTCTTATCATTTAGCCATAGCACCCATCTTACACATCAGTGCTCAAAAGACTTTGAATTTTAAAACTTCAACTGAATAAAGGGATTTTATTTTTTTTTCCTTGTTTTTGAGGTAGGGTTGCTCTATGTTGTCTAGGCTCAAAGTAGCTAGTACTACAGGCACATGCCATCATGCCCAGGAAATAAAGGAATTTTATTTATTTTGCAGTACTGGGGAATGAACCCAGGGGTGCTGAGCCACATCCCCAGACATTTCTGTATTTGTTTTGAGACAGGGTCTTGCTAAATTGCTGAGGATGGCCTCAAAACTGCAATCCTCCTGTCCAGACTCCTAAATAGCTGGGATAGGTATGTCCTACTCTGGAGACTGAGGCAGGAGGATTTCAAGTTCAAGAAAGCTTGGGCAACTTATAGAGACCCTGTCTCAAAAAAAACGATGTGGATGTAACTTAAAGAGAGTCACTATGCATGAGGCTATGGGTTTATCCCCTACATTGCCAAAAAAAAAAAAAAGTAAAATTATTACATACCTTCCTTAGGTCAAGCTATGCATTGAGTTTTCTTATCAGGATAATTCATTGCAATACACTATTCTGCAGCTTCTCCATAGATTTCCCAAGGAAAGCAATCAGTGGCCTTTCCCTGCCTTACACTCCCCATAATTAGTGTTCCCTGATGTGGTCCCTGGGTAAGGTAATTGTAACAAGACTGAGAACATCAAGGAAACATTTAAGATCTCAGCTTTTTTCTTTTTTAACACCTACTGGAAAAACACATTTACAATGACTTAGAACATTAAAGTTCTTTTATTACAAAAGTTTATACAATGAAGCGCCAGACACAGCAATGCAATTATACTGATTATACTTATACAGTGTTTATTTGTACCAAAGTAAAACTATCACGAATTGCCTAATTGTACCACCTACTGCTGCTCAACCATGACACACAATACTATCACATAGAGTAAGTGCTGCCATGCCACTTTTACCTATTTCTACTCAATAACCAACATCATGAAGCAGCTGTTAATTCTAAAATGAAACCAGTCAGGGCACCGACTTATAAAAATAATATGGTACTCACATAGATTTAGCATTATAAAGAAGGAATATATTATTTAAAACATTTAAATAGTGCATATGGACATTTTTGCATGTGGTATATAAAATAAAACATTCATAAAAACAATATACAGTGCACATAAATTAGATGTTAGACCCCTGTCTGGAACCTAAAGAAATTAACTGAAATGTACACTGCATAATGGATTCAAATAAAAGTGATACATCTTTTGGCATTTCAATTTTACCAGGAATACATTATGAATAATCTAGTTTCATCAAAAGGAAACACACAAAAAGGGCTGGATTTAGTGCTTTATTCCTCAACTACATGTTTACTACCACTGGATTTTTCCTCCCTCCCAAAAAAGGCATTGCACACACAAGTGAAATGTGAAATACTAGAAACACTATTATCAACTACTTCATGTGCTTACTATGTGATAGTGCTAGAAGTTTGAGGTTCATGCTTCCCTCACCTTATTAAAGGATGTTGTAAAATTCCAATTTTGTATAAAACAAATTTTTAATATAAGCTAGTTAAGAAAACCATGCATGAGTCAAGGCATGCAAAACATGGGCACAAAATGAAATACTCATCAATCCAAATAAGCACCAGGAAAAAAAATTAACACTTAGATTAGTCTGACACAAATCTGCTACTGTATATTTTTTAACAAAAATGATATCACCATTCCATGAAAATGATTAGCCATGCAAAGCAAGAGAAATAAGACATGCTAAGAGCATATGACAAGGGGCATACCACCACATATCTTGTAAACGGCTGCTTKAAACAGCATGTAATTGAGGAAAAGGTGGTTTCTATTTTTAGAGAATGTTTTTCCTATGGATTTTGCTGATTTAAAAAAAAAAAGAAAAAAATGTAGCCCCTTGAAGGTAAATGCAGTGGTATAGCCCTTGTTAAGAACAGATTTACTTAGGCATAATGATTATTTTGCCAATTTAGGCCCATTTGATTAAACATACAAATCTGAGCACCATCAGAGTTCCTACATACTGACATGGCTGCTTTCTCACATTATCTGGAGGTGGGTGGGGAGGGTAAGAGTACAGAATCCCATTCAAACAAATCACATCATCACCAGCTGATAAACACTAATTTAGGAACCAACAGTAACTTAAGTCCGATAGGCAGCATGTGATGTGTGGTATGTGTTCTCTAAGCAAGGTCACTTTTTGGTCTACCCACTGTTATCTTCATCCAAGAGCTGTGTGACCACTGAATTATAAAATTTTCTAACATACTACCTGTGAGGTGTCACTTTGGGAATTAAACAGAAACGTGTTCCACTGTAGGACTTAAAATTTCAGTYTGATTTTGGTTTTCTAGGAGAACAACACAGTTGCATATGTGCACTTGTATAGGCTTTTCTTTCAAATTTTCAGTCATTCTGTGAGAAAAAGGCAACCGAAGAATTCAGTGTGAAGATTTTCCTCTCAATTTTCTTCAGTAATGAAAAAAAAAATTAGTAATAACAAAACACTCTGTATTTCCAAAGTTCTTGAAGTTGAAAGGATAAAATTCTAGTCTTTTGCTAACAGGATGTATCTGTAGTACAAAACAATGAAAGAAGCTGCGTGTTTGCAAAAGGTGGAGAGGACAGTCTGTGGTTAGTATGGAATATCATACTCCCTAGAGAGGGCCTACTTACCCTTGCATTATTTGTTTAGTGGCATCACAATCAAGTACAAAATGAGATTCTCTGAGTGCCTGACAAAATGAACTCAAGTACCAGCCAAGTATACATGATGACAGCTTCAAGGAATACAAGTGACTTTATGATGTGAATTTTCAAGGAGCATATTTTATATGGATTTTGAAGAATCTTGTTTGCTGATAAGAACTTCAAGAAGCCTAAGTTTTGCTTTGATTTTCTTGTATTCCCTATATTCCTCAAGCACTGGAACACGATCCTCCTTCTGGGCATTCCTAAGGAAGAAAATCACTAATTATATATTCAAATAAAAAGTTGCTCTGCAAGAAAAAAAAGGGTTATTGGACTAATTCGCTCATTCCCAAAGAACATTCCTAAAATACTTCAGATTAAATAATGCTATATTTCTTTTATCAATGATCAATATTTCACAAAACATTGACAACTAAACTCTGCCAGGTAGGTCTGTGTCTAGTGTTAGAAAACCACCCAGAGTCATTTCATATATTTAGTTAAAACAAAATAAAACAAAAATTTAGTTAACTGTGCCTGTACAGCTTACTAACTTTATATTATGAGCCAATGCAATTCGGTTTGATCATCAGCTAAAATGTGGTATCATCCCAACCATAATTATAAGCAAAATTTTCTTCTGATGATAATATAAAGAAGTAGAAGGTACCTGGAAAACGCATTCCTGCACTTCAGATTTTCTTAGTCTTTTGTATAGGTTGGTATAATGATTATCTTAATTCCCAGAATTAAACACATTTTGGAATTTGTAATGGAGCTACTATTGGGAAAAGCATTTCTGAATTGAATATTTTTTTTCTCATTTTAAAAGACTCCTCTAGGAACCAGCCATGGTGGTGATCTCCTGTAACTAAGGCTGAGGCAGGTGAATCACAAGTTTGAGGCCAGTTTGGGCAAATTAGTAAGATCCTGTCTCAAAAATTTAAAAAAGGGCTGGAGATGTATTCAGTGGTAGAGCACTTGCCTAGTGGATRCGAGATCCTGAGTTTCAGCCCCAATCCTGCCCCCACCCCTGGAAAAACTAAACACAAAAAACATAAAACAAAAAAACCCTCGATCAACTATACATATTAGATAAAGGCACATGCCTGCCACATCTTAGAACCTCGCAGCCTGGAATGACCCAACATGTAGCCTGAAAACAATTTTATCAGTATAAAAATTTTGAGAATCCAAACTAGTTGAGGATACCATTCCTATTAGGGGACCCTTAAGGGGACCCTTATTAAAAAGAAAAACATCTCATTTCACAACCATTTCCTAAAGGGTAAGAATGTAGAAAAAAGACAAAAATCACTATAGCTCTGTGGTGTAGTGTTTCCCAAGCAAGTGCAAAGGTTTGATCTCCAGCACTACACACACACCACTGCAATTCAACCCAGACTCCAAACTCCTGAGGTCAACCCTAATATTTTTCTTTTTCTTTCTTCTTTTTTTTGGTATTGGGGATGGAACTCAGGGACATTTAACCACTAAGCCACATCCCGAGCCTTTTTTTTTTTCCCCCTTTCTAATTCTTATTTTGACCCAAGGTCTTGCTAAGTTGCTGAAGCTGGCCTTGAATTTTACCCTCCTGCTTCAGCCTCCTTAGTTGCTGGGATTATTGGCACATGCCACTGTGCACAGTGAAATATTTTATCTAATGTTGTTTCTTCCAGCTCTGAATTTCCTTGCAATTAATCATAGCAGGGCTTCAGAGCATTGAAAAATGTCATACAACTTAATTTTCAATAATGCTAACATCTCATAAGCAAAATTTATCTATAATTCTATGTATTCCACTATTTTAACATATGGACATTTTGTGAGTTAACAGAGAAAGATAACAGTATTATGACATTTGACAAACCTTCCATTTTTTTGATAAAATGCCTCTTCAAATTCCCGTAATGTTTTACGGAGTTTCTTTTTTTCAGCTCTGGCTTTCCAAAGTTGTTCCAGTAATTCAGGCCTAAAATTGAAATGAAAAGAAAACATTAAAAGGGCACAGAGATGATTCATTATGTTCCTTAACAGTAGTTCTAGCCCTGGCTAAAAATTAAAATCAGCTAGAAGGTTTTTAGAGCATATTAATGCCTTACTCCATCTCCAAACCAATTAAATTAGAATAGCCGAAAGGCCTTATTAGTATTAGTACTTAAAACAAAAACAAAATTTAATAATTGATTGTGATGTGAACTCAGGGTTAAGAACATCTTCACTTTGCTGTGCTCATTTCTTGGGGTAATAAAGAAGAAACTAAAGGAAAACTTCAGATGGTTTGCATGCTTTGTTATATATCAAATATAAGATTTTACTTTAAATTTTTTTTGAAACACACTATTTTGGGCAATGGGGGGTCACTTTACCATCTGGCTATAACCCCAGCCCTCATGATTTTAAGAGAGTCTTCTTTCTAATTTGCCCAGGCTGGCCTCAAACCTGTGCTCCTCTTGCCTCAGCCTCTTTTAAGTCACTGAGATTACAGGAGTGTGCCATCATGCCCCACTAAAACACACCATATTTAATAAAAGAAAATGGAAATGATAACATGTACTTGTAAATCACTTTTTAAAGGGTGTATCTAGCTTGTGGTTAATTCTTAATTAATCATTTGTATTAATCCCTTGTAAGTGCTCAAATTATTTTACAAAAAATTCAATATTATACACATAGGCTAAAATCAAACTAGACTACATACATAGAAGCTGCACGAGTACTTGACAAACGGAGATCCAGAGCCAGTTTTTCTTGATTTTCTTCAACATCAGATTCTGAATTTTCCAATGAAGTCTGTGCATGTACAGCTGTTTTCAAGATATCACTTAACTCAGAGGATAGACTAACGCCATCTTCTTCTTCTTCCTAAAACAGAGAAACAGGCTATGGCTTTCAACTTTCCCTTTAGGAAATCAATTAAGAATGAGTTCTTTAAAGGATTACCTTGATTTCTTCAAAAAAATGTGCAGTTTCTCCTTCTATGATTGGCTGTAACATCTGACTCCTTCGCTTGGTGGAGGGAGATCCCTATAACAATCAGTAATACAGATTTTTTTTTTAGTTGTATATGGACACAATATCTTTATTTTTTTTACTTTTATGTGGTGCTGAGATCGAACCCARTGCATTGCACGTGCCAGGCAGGCACTCTACCACTAAGCCATAACCCCAGTCTCAATAATACAGTTTTAAAGTATTTAGTGAAGCTTCACTTCATTATGGTACAAATATTAAACTTTATTTTCAAAATCTTAAGCGTATACTTTTAATATTTTTAGAGGTTCTTAATTTTTGCTTACATTTTCCTTTTTATTTATGCATAAGGGTGATAATTATATTTAGAAAAGTCTAAAAGAGTTCATTCAATAGTGTTTTACTATTCTAAACAAGTGTCACATATATTTTAACTGGTTGCAATTTTATTTTTAAAAATAGCTGTCAAGCATACTATAGTGACGTAGCCACATCAATGTTTATAGCAATTCACAATAGCTAACTATGGAACCAACCTATGTGCCCTTCAACAGATGAATGGATAAAGAAACTATGGTATATATACACAATGGAATATTACTCACCTTAAAGAATGAAATTATGGCATTTGCTTGTAAATTGATGGAACTGGAGAATATCATGCTAAGTGAAATAAACCAATTTCAAAGAACCAAAGGCCAAAGGTTTTCTCTGATATGTGGATGCTAATTCACAATGGGGGAGAATAGAGGTATTTAGAACTAGACAGGGGAGTGAAGGGAGGGAATGGGGTATGGGGATAGGAATGATAGTAGAATGAATCAGATATTATTACCGTATGTGCATGTATGATTATAGGACCTGTGAAATTCTACGTCATGTACAACCAGATGAATGAGAAGTTACACTCCATTTATATATGAGGTGTTGAAATGCATTGTCATGTGTAACTAATTAGAACAAATAAAAAAAATTAAAAAACAAATAGCTGACAAATATTTTTTGTCCCAAGAATGTTCTTCACTCAAAAAAATGAGCTGGGGTTGTAGCTCAGTGGTAAAGCACTTGCCCAGCAACACATAAAAATAAATAAATAAAATAAAAGTATTGTGTCCACTACAACTAAAATAATACATAAAAACCCCCAACTTTATTAAAATAATTATTAAAATCATTATATCATAACATTAATTCTTTAAAAATGGATAGTTCCATCACCACTAATTCCAGAACATTTCATCACTACAAAAGAAACCCACTAGATATTACTCATTTGCCTTGACCCATAACCCTTTGTAAATACTAATCTACACTTTGTCTTTATGGGCTTGCCTGTTCTTAAAATTTCATATAAATAGGATTATATAATATGGCCTTTTGTGTCTGGTTAATTTCACTCATCATATTTTTATGGTTTTCACCCATGTATTCATATTTGTGTGTGTATATATATATATATATATATATATATATATATATATAAAATATGTATATATGTATGTATGTATTTTATTCCTTTTTTTGCTGCATAATACTCTAGTGAATACTGGATATACCATATTTTGTTTATCCATTTATCAGCTGACAGACATTTAGGCTATTATGAATAATACTGCTGTGAACACTTGTGTACARGTTTTTTTGTGGACATTTTCACATCTTTTGAGTATTTACCAAATAGTAGCTATACCATTTTACATTCCCACCCAGCAGTGTATGAAGGATTCGATTTATCCAGATTCTCACCACAATACTGTTATCATCTTTTTCATTAATACTCATACGAATGGGTGTGAAATGACATCTCAAGGTAGTTTTATCTGCATTCCCTAATGACGTTCAATATCTTTTGTTTGCTCACAGGCCATTTATAAATGCTCTCTGGAGAAATGTCTGTTCAAATTTTTTTATTCTTGAATTTTTAAATATATTCTGGATATAAGTCCCTTATAGGATTTCTGAATATTTCTTGCATCCTATTGGCTTGTCTTTTCACAAGTGTTTGCACATAGTTTTTAACTTCGTTGTTGTTTGGCAGTACTGGGGGATGAAACCCAGGGCCTTGTGCATTCAAAGAAGGAATTCTACCACTGAACTATACCTCCAGCCCAGGGTTTTACTTTTGATGAAGTCAAATTCATTTTTTTGTTTTGTTGCTTACGTTTTTGGTATTGTATCTTAAAAACAAATAAAACATTAACCCAACGTCCAAAGATTCACTCATGTTTTCTAAGAGTTCTTTAGTTTCAGCTTTTTTACATTTAGATCTATAATCCATTTATAAGACAAGGTCCCAATACCCTCCACCTCACCCACAGTGCTAAGGATGGAACTCAGGGGTACTTTACCTCTGAGCTACATCCTCAGTCCTTTATTTTGAGACAGAGTCTCACTTAGTTACTGACATAATCATATACACAAAATGCTAACAAATGTGCCTGCCAAATAATCCTAGGCTCTTCTTATTAGTTTTCTATCCTTTTAAAATCAGTAATCTCAACTTAAAATTACTATTCTTTCTACCTCGGTTATAAATTTCTTCAATATACCACCAAAATAAATTTTTTTAGACAAGTACATCTTGAGAAAATGAACTAGAGAAATATTTGTTTGTTTTACTTACAAGAATGGGAGTGATGCTGGCTCTTGTCAGCATCTGTTTAACAAGCCGGTATCTATCATAGAGAGGTTTAACAATATGCCTTTCTTCCCTGGTCACCTGAAGCCAAAAATAAAAAGGAAGTCCCCTAGTTATCAGAAATAATTTTGTCCAAAACATTAAGCAATTTTATCTTCCTACCCCACATTGAAAATTTTATATTAAATAAGTTAGTTATCTCCCAATTATAAGAAATAAGGCTCTATGAAACAGCTCTGTAGAATGGAAGCCTCAAAAGTGATTCATGCTCTATAGGTGCAGGTACTGATTTCTTCAACAGAAGTTCAAAAACAAACAAACAAATAAATAAAGTTTGAAAAATTAATCAAGAGCCAGGCTACAGAATGGAAGAAAATCTTTGCCAGCTGCTTCTCTGTCAGGGGATTAATATCCAGAACTGAGGGCTGGGGTTGTGGCTCATTGGTAGAACACTTGTCTAGTATGTGTGAGGCACTGGGTTCAATTTTCAGCACCACAYAAAACTAAATAAATAAAATAAAGGTCCATCAACAAATAAATTTTTTTWAAAAAAAAATCCAGAACTGAAAAAATTTAATGCAACCAGGGAAATGCAAATAAAACTACACAAAGATACCATCTGAATGTCAATTATCCAAGAACATAAATAATAATAAATGCTTGTGAGGATGTGGGGGGAAAAATATACATTGTTAATGGGACTGCAAATCAGGAATGGAACGTCCATATGACCCAGCTATCACACTTCTTGGTATTTATCCAAAAGAACTAAAATCAGCATACTATAGTAATACAGCTTCTTGAATGTTTATAGCAGCACAATTCACCACAGCCAAATTATGAAATTAATCCAGATCCTGTCAACAGATGAATGGATCCTGAAAAGGCGGTATATGTATACAAATGGAGTTTTACTCAGCCATAAAGAAGAATGAAATTATGGCATTTGCCAGCAAATGGATAGAAATGGAGAATATCATGATAAATAAGCCAGACTCAGAAAATCAAGGGTTGAATGTGTTTTTTTTTTCCCCATATGCGGAAGCTAGAGAAAAATAAGGGAAAGGAGGTGGAAGTGGTGATAGACATCATAAATATATAGGGAAGATCATGCAGTAGGAGGAAATCAAAAGAGAGGGAGGGAGGAGGGAAAATGGAAAGAAAAATAACAAAACCGTGTTTTATATGTATATATAAATGTGCCACAGGGAATTTCACCTTTATGTGTACGTAGAAAAGTATCAATCAAAAATAAATAAATGAGAGAAAGGAAGATCGGTAGAGGAAGGAGAATAGGAGGGAGGAGAGGAGAGGAAACAGGGACTGAAATCAAATTCTATGCATTTTATCAAAACAAACCCAACTAATATATAATGTCATAATGCTCTAATAAAAACATAAAAAATAAAAGTGATCTAAGCTCTTCTATAAATCAAGTTTTTTATCAAGAGAAACATTACCGGCCTTCCATGTTGACTTTCATAGTAAAGAAGACTTTTCTGGAGAGAAGTTTTTTCTTCTATCAAATGATCTTTTGTCATTTTCTAGAATTAGGAGGGAAAAAAATCCACTGGCATCATTATTATTCTCCTTACTTCTAACAATGTAAGTTAATTAAGCTGAAAGRGCAGGCTATCACCAGTCTAACATAGGCTAATGCAATCTTTGCTTATTCATTTGCAGGCAACATTTTTTGTCCTGAAGAATCTGGTATTCTAATACATAGGTAGCAACTCCTTTGATAACTTGATTTATATTTTATTTGAATAAATTACGAATACTGGCTTGGGTACATTACTTAACCTCTTCAGGTTTAATATACCAATATGTATAAAATGAGGACACTTCATTCTACCTCAAAGAAATCAAATAAGGACATTAATATATGTAAAACATTTATAACATTCCTACCCAACACACAGCAGGCATATATAAATGCTTCTTATTTTACTTAACCTTAGTCTTTTATTAGCAGTAAGACTAGTGGATGCAGACACACTCTCACATACATACACAGGTTTTACCATCCAATCTGTCTATATATCCCCTAAGCTTTTAAAGAAAATCTTGCAGCAGTATAGTGGAAAGATCCTAAAAGAAATTCAACAATGTTAATTTGTAACCTTACACTTTACCCTGACCTCAGTTTCTCTTCCAATTGAGATGGTGCATTCTTTACACTGCAATACACTCATCATACCTTTCAGTATGGTATAAGGTGGAATAAGCAGAACTCCACAGAACGTTTCCCTTTGTTTCATAGGATCACATATTATCACTTTTTAAAAAAATTTTTTTATTTGTTTTAATTAGTTATACATGACAATAGAATGCATTTATATACTTTGATATACATAGATGGGATATACACATATTATCATTTCAATGAACCAATGTTTCAGAATACTCTCCAACTATACCAAATAAAACTTACTTATTTCCATAATTAGTCAATACTACCCATCTTTCACTACAGTGAAATCAGAGATAGAAAAAAATCACTGGGATGGGGTAGAATGCTTGCGTGCCTGCCTAATGTGCAAGTACCTGAGTTCAATCCAGTAYTTTTTAAAAACAACAACAAAACATGTTTATGAATCTGTAAGTATCAAGTAGGCCAGTTGGACTACTCAGATATCTTAATCATGTTATGGTAATTGCTTTGTTTCAGGGATTCTAAAGGCCAGCCTGAACAAAAATCATGGTTAACATTACCTTGATATCTTCTGGAAGACACCTCTCAACACGTTTTTCTTTCAGTCTCTTCAGAATAAGTTCAAGGGTTGCTTCCTTAGATGACTTCTTCTCCTTCTGAATAACTCTGGATTCATCATCATTCTCTTCATCTTCATGGTCTAAAGAAGAGCCAAAACTTTTTGGAAGAGTGTTACTACGTGGGCGTGTCTGAGGTACAAATTCTCCATCACAGCTTTTGTGTTTTGCATCTGTATTTCAGAAACAAGAGGAAAGATTAACAATTGATTTCAGCAAGTATACATTAATAGCACAAATGCACAGATATTTCAAAGTAACAAAGTAATCAAATTATATGTACAGCAAGAAAGCTTTCTATTCTATCAAAATTCATAGAAAGTCTACTAAACAGAAGACACTAATACACAGTAGTAAGCAAAAGAGATCCATCCTTGTTCTCATGGAGCATATATAAATATGCAGGGAAGGAAAAACAATAATCAGATAATCAGATTAATAAGTGAAATAACTTCAAAAAATGCTAAGTGCTATAAAGAAGATATAACAGGACAGAATCACAGTTCTAAAAGAAGTGTGCTTTGTGTAGGAGCAGTTACACTAGATAATATCGACAAAGAATGCCTTTTTGAATGGTCTCATTCCGGTTAAATATGGAATGATAAGGAAATAATGTAGCATAGAAGGTTTAGAGGAAAAACATTCACCCCCAATTGAGGAAATAGCCCATGCAGCTTTACATGTCGGAGGCCCTTCAGTTTTACATGTCTGAGGAACAGAAAATGAGAATTGTCTTGTCTGCCAGAGTGTGCAAGCCATTCAAAGTCGTGGTAAAGATTTGGACTCAGAAAAATTCTAAGTGGAAAGGGAAACCCACTGAAATTTTAAGTCTTCTTGAGTCATAAACTAGGCCTTACATTTATGGATATCAGCCCAGTGTTAACAAGGGAGTAACATGATTTATTTTTTAGATATTTGTTTTTATTATTGATGGACCTTAATTTTGTTTATTTGTATGCAGTGCTGAGAATTGAACCCAGTGCCTCATGCATGCTAGGCAATCACTCTACACTGAGCTACAACCCCAGTATATATACAGATTCTACTGAATGGCTATCATTTTTGCATGATTTTTTAATAGATAATTTTGGCTGCTATGCAGAGGATGTACTATAGAACAGTTAAGAGAAGAAAAAAACTGGGAAACTAGGAAGCTAATGCCTATTAATTTAATAATGATTACTGGTGGTTGGAAACCAGAATTTAAACAAGGCAATGCTCTGCAGAACTGTAGGTAGCGAGGAAGTAATCTTCTAAAAAAAAAAAAAAGTTTGGTTTTGTTTTTAAATTAGAGCTTTATTATTACACACAGTAGCTGGATTCATCCCAACAAACTCATACATGCATGGAAATTGATTTTAGTTCATGAAATCCTCTTTTTTAARTGAAATAATAAAATGAGGTTATTTTTATTCATGGATGTATAAAATGAGGAGAATGTAGAACAGTTTATGAATGAAGCTATACATTATCAGATGATAATAATTGGGTATTCTTGGTACTTCACTTAACATGGAGGCAATCCAATGTAAATGCCTAATACACATTTTTTTTCATTTTTAGAATTTATATATAACAGCAGAATACATTATGCATGAAATCCTCTTTTAAGAGAAAGTATCTTAAACCAAAGAATAAAAAATTCCATGATAGTAGGGATGATGTTTGAGTACTTGATACTTATGAGCTATTAAGAATTTCACCAAATAAGTTCAAATGAATAAATCAAAACAGTGATCCAAATTTTAAGCTATACTTGGCACAGGTAATGGTTAAAAATCATTAAAAAGCATATTCACTAAACACAGAATAAATATACCTTAACAACAGCTTATGCTAGGCAGATAACCAGAAATACAAGGCCTAGTTTATGAGTCAAGAAGACTTACAATTTAGTCTTTACAGTGTCAACAATTCACTAAGACTATATCCCCTACCCATTACTGTGGATCAAACCTAAGGCCTCCCACATGCTAGGCAAGTGCTCCATCACTGTAACTATATACCCCAGTCCCTGACTAGCTAGTCTTTTAGTCTTTAGATAAAATATATACCAAAAAAATTTAATACCTTCAAAAACCCAAACTGCTAATTTCTACAATATATTTCAGATAAATTGTACTGCACCAGTTCACCTATGTGTGTATGTGTGTGTGTGTGTGTGTGTGTGTGTGTGTGTGTATGCAGGGTACCTTTCAAAAGAATACTAATAAAAAAACACTCTACCACTGAGTTGTGGTGAGTGTTTATCTAGCACATGTGAGGCACTGGGTTTGATTCTCAGCACCACAT